ATTATTCTGGCTCCAAAACTAGAAATTTGGTGCATTATGCAGGCAGTGTAGCGTTTCTACGATTACCTACAGTGTATTCTCCATGTTTTCTTATGTGTAGTGGCTACAATGAACGTATGTAATGGAATCTATTTTGTTACAGTACCGATCCTTTGTATATGGGGTTCGGTTATCCTATACCTCTTATTTTATCCATCTACGATGTTTTTTACTTTATCTCCAGTACACCTATATTTCTTCTTAAACTACTCAAAAAGCCTAATGAGTCAAGTAAATAGATACGGAGGGAGTATTTGAGAAAACATTACTATTAAATTAGTTACTTGAATTGCAGTTTGACGTAGTATCCTATGAACATGCAAGCCCAATATTTATACCTCCACCAAGTAATATAAGGGATATACGGAAGTCGAAGTGGCCGTTAATTTAATTAGGCAGATCTATCATCAGGTAATTCAGCAGATAAAACACTATCAGTGCCATTGATGGGGAAAATTTAATTAAAGTGAAAACATGTAGAAAAGAAATTAACGGTGAGAGGAAAATTAATGGTACAACAAGCCAGGGTTTGGTTGGATAAACCATTATTTACGATCTTTGTCAAACTCAATAGGTGATGGCTTCTCCAACATACACGCACGAGACCATAATCAGGGTGAGGTTTCACAATGGAGTTGGGCACTTGTGGGGTTAAGGTTGTTTTTACTCGGACTCTAATTCGTTCCAGACCAGACCACACTAGATCAGACCAGACTAAAACACATCAGACCAAACCAGACCAGACTAGATCAGACCATACCAGATCATATATTATTATTATTATTATTGTTGTTGTTGTTGTTATTATTATTTTTATTGTTATTATTATCATTGTTGTTATTATTATTGTTATTATTAGTAGTAGTATTATTATTGATATTATTACTATTATTACTATTGTTATGTATTTGTATGATTTGGTCTGATCTGCTTCGGTCTGGGACTGAAATCAGTTCGAGTAAAACGATAACAATATTCGATAATTTGGAAGGAATATTATTATTTTTAATTATAAATGAATAAAATATAATTATTTATGTATTTTAATATTTATAAAAACTAAAATCTTAATGCAAAAAATATAAAAAATAAAATTTCAAACCAGACCAGATCATACCAGACCAGACTAAAACAGACCAGACCAGACCACCAAATTACAGTTCAAGTAAAAACATCCTAAATATAATTAAAGATGATAATAATGTTAGAAAAATATAATATATTTCATCATATTTTCAACAAATAATTCACCTGTCACATTAAAATCATTCCATTTGGCCCACATTTGAAACGGATTAATTATATCATAAAAAAAAACAGTTGTGCTATACACGTCATTCCGAGGCACGACACTCACGTACAAAAACGGATTATGTCGTAAGAATCGAACGACAACGACTGATTAACCCGGTCAACTCTAATGCATCTATAAATCTATAAATAACACGAGTACATTTTAAGGCTACAATTAGAAAAAACATTGAGACATGTCAATTCCACAATTATTGTTTTAAAATCACTTTCCAAATTAAGGAATGGTATGCACAACTAATGGTACGTGTTCCATTTAGGAATTGTAGTAATGCTATGTAGAACTCCTACTATTTTAGGACTATCAAAATAAAATTTTATGTTTTTTAAGTGTTATAACTTTTTCATTTGCGCTCATTCTTGTGTTCTTCTTTCTGTTACTCTAATCTTTGTTATATCGATATATATTGCTGTAATCTACAAAACAGGGATAAACATGGAGGAAATTTAATGGATAAAAATAGGCATTGAACATTTTCTTTTTTTATTTAGGTAAAGATATTGGAAATGATTAATTTCATTGGGATGCAATTGAGATATAAAAAATGCTCTTTTCATTATAAAATATAGACTCGAAAATGTTTAGATAAATAGTTCAAAATGCTCTTTTCATTAGAAAATATAGACTGAAAAAAGGTTTAAATAATTATTAACTTGGTGTACGTGAAATACTACAGAGTATTTATTAATTCCAACCGAGCTTGTAATTAAAAATAATTATTAAATTAGTAGGGAATAAGAAGATAAATAAATTAGTAGTAAATAAGAAGATTATAATTACAATCAATTACTACCTCCGTCCCTTAAAACTTTTCCAAAGTTGACTGGAATGGAGAATAATAAAGTAAAAACTGTGTGGTTGAGGTTTGTGAAGAGAAGAGAGAAATAACAGAAACAACAAAATAATCGATTAAAAGGGAAAGTGGCAAAGTTTTTTGGAACGTCCCAAAAAGGAAGACGGCAAAGTATTAAGGGACGGAGGGAGTATTAATTGTGTATCAGTCTAGCAAAATGTTTTAATTTCATATTTGTGTTTGAGTGGAATTTTGTAGAAGAGCCTATTGAAATTGTGTGTGAGTAAAATTGTGTTAATCTACGAGAGAGGAATTGTGTTTTCACATGTAAATCTCATGTAAGGGTGTTCTAAATTGGTCTGAAATTTTCTGAACTGGTTTGATCTATGTAAGTCTAGTATATTTTGATTTGATCTGAACGGGTCTACTCTGGTATATATTTGTTCAATAAGCGTGTTTTACAACTGTCAAAGTTTAGAATGGTTTGATCTAGTATGTTGTGGTCTGGCATGATCTCAGACTAAAACGTACTAATCCAATTAAAAACATTCTAAATATCCTAAAGAAGATGGAAGCTTATATCTAGGGAGAAGAAGATTTCAATGAAAAAATTATTGAAAGGATAAGGATTATTGGTTATCCTTTGTAAAATAATTGTAATGGTTGAAATCCCAATTAAATAAACGTTATTTGGATTTAGTATAATCATTTCAATTTAACTTTTTATTCTGAATTAAACTAATTTAGTTTAACCCTTATTTCAATTTATAAGTTTTGATTCTAAACTGATTTGAACAGCTTTAGATAAACTTAGCACTTATCAAGAAATGTATGCATGGAGTTTAATGGATAAAAAGAGGCACTGAAAAAAGTATTAAATGGAGATTTGTAATATACTACTGTTAGTATTTTGACTTTACAAGGTCTCGATGAATCATATGATTTTGATTCTTTTATCAAAACATGATTGTGAAATACTCCTTTTACGGGTGTTAATACACGAAAGAAATTTTACGAAGATGTCATATATGGAAGAGTAGTGAAATTGTGTTAATTTGTGTTGAGTACAATTTCTACAAGTAGGAGTCTAAAATTTGTATAACCGGTGAAATTGTATTTGAATACGATCGTGTTAATCTATGTTTGAGAAAAAATGTGTTATATGTCAATTCGATTGAAATCTTCAGGTTCGGTCTGTCTAGTCCTGTCTGTTTACGTATGATCTGATCAGATTTGATCTGAACTGATCTGGTACATGTTTGTTCTATGTGTACTTTACAACTGACGAATTCAGACCCGATTTGATATGTTTTGTTCTGATATAAGACTAATACCAGTCTAATTAAAACAATAAATAAAAGTGAAGGAGTTTGTGCAATTTTATTTTAAGCTATCACTTTGGGTAAAGGGAAAAATAATAACTATCTCAAACTTTGAATGTGTGTCAGAAAATACCCCAAATTTGCATATGCATATATATAACCCAAATTCTACATAGAATTTTATTTTTTTCACCATAATTATATGATTTTTAAAAATATAAATTTGTTGCAATAAGTGCATAATTTAAAATACTCTAAGCTTTTTTTGGATGCAGTTAATAATCTAAAAATTTATTTGTGAAATAAATAATATTACATCCAGTCCAATATAATTTTAATTGCATCCTCATAAGTGGTTTGTGTATTTTGAATTATGTACTTAACACTATAAAATTACATTTGTAAAAAATCATATGATCATGGTGCTAATAACATTGCTTTTATATAAAAAGGAGAGTATATATATTACATGTGCAAGTTTGGGGTACTTAACTCACACCCCTTCAAAGTTTAAAATATTTAAATTAATAGTGTGTACCGTACAAAATGATCGCAAAATGCACAAATCAATAGAAGTAATATATTTTATATATGCAACAATAATGACATGTGAAAGATAATAAAAAGTTATGAATTATGATATATATTTTTTTAACCATCAGAGAAAAAATAAAAAAAATTATCACACTTTAAAAAAATATGTTTTTAAAGTGTTCAAATATTTTTTTATCGTTATATATTCCATATTGGTATCATATGAAAGATGATAAAAAGTTGTGATTTTGGATACATTTTTAGTAACAATCAGAGTACAAATAAAAAAGTTTTATAACTTTAAAAATTAGATTTGCTACATGTGGTTCAGGGTTATGAGCAATGCTTATGCAGCTTTATTATCACAATATAACTTCATAGGTAGCCCAATCTTCATCTTTAGTTCTGTGATTACTCGTTTGATCCAGAGTAACTCACATATTTCATTAGCCATAGCTCTGAATTCTGATTCTGCACTACTTCTAGCAACCACATTTTGTTTTTTACTTCTCCAGGTTACTAGATTTCCCCATACATAGGTGCAATATCCAGAAGTAGATCTCCTATCAGATATTGAGCCAGCATAATCTGCATCAGTAAAAGCTTCAATTGTCCTATTGTTTCCCTTTTTGAAAAACAATCCTTTCCCTGGACAGCTCTTCAGGTATCTCAAAATCCTGTAAGTAGCATCAAGATGTTCTTGGAGAGGATGATGCATAAACTGACTCACCATGCTTACTGAAAATGCAATATCTGGTCTTGTGTGTGCCAGATATATTAATTTTCCTACCAATCTTTGATATTGGTGAATATCAACTGGATTTCCCTCCTTGATATCTCCCAATTTCTGACTTGGGTCAATTGGAGTGTCTGCTGGTTTGCAGGCACTCATTCCAGTTTCCTGTAGAAGATCTAGAACATATTTCCTTTGTGAGACAACAATACCCTTCTTTGATCTAGCTATCTCCATTCCTAGGAAATTTTTTAAATTTCCCAGGTCTTTAATCTCAAATTCATGAGCAAGTTTGTCTTTCAATCTTTTAGTCTCTGTGTGATAATTTCCTGTGAGGATAATATCATCTACATAGACAATTAAGATTGCAATCTCCCCCTTACCTGAAAACTTCATGAATAAAGTATGGTCAGCTTGAGCTTGATTAAATCCTTGCTTCTTTATGAACTTTGTGAATCTGTCAAACCAGGCTCTTGGAGACTGTTTAAGTCCATATAAAGCCTTCTCTAATCTGCAAACTTTTAACCCAAACTTATTTTCAAACCCAGGAGGAGGTTCCATGTACACTTCTTCTTCAAGTTTCCCATTTAAAAAAGCATTCTTTACATCCAGTTGTTGTAATGGCCAGTCTAAATTGGCAGCAAGAGATAAAAGAATTCTTACAGTGTTCAACTTTGCAACTGGTGCAAAGGTTTCTTTGTAATCAGTTCCATAGGTCTGTGTGTACCCCTTGGCAACTAGTCTTGCCTTATACCTCTCCAAACTTCCATCTGCCTTAAACTTGGGGGTGCAAATCCACCTGCAACCAACTGTAGGTTTATTTTTAGGTAACTCTACAAGCTTCCATGTCTGATTCTTTTCAAGAGCCTCCATCTCCTCCAAAAAAGCTTTCTTCCACTCAGGTTTAGATAGAGCATCCTGTATGGTTGGAGGAATAGAAGTAGAAGAGATATTGGAAGTAAAGGCTGCAAAGTCTGAGGTCAATTTAGAATAAGAAACATAGTTTGAGATGAGGTATTTAACACACGTTCTTCTCTCTTTTCTGAGAGCAATAGGAAGGTCAAAGTTGCTAGAAGTATTACCCTTTTCACTTCCTGACATTGAGGCAGAATCATGGACAGTTGTAGGTTCTTGGACTTCCTCTATTCTTTGATTTCTAACCCTTCTCTCTTAAATTTTTCCAAAGAACTGACTTGTCTGTTGATCCTTTTCAATTGGTTCAGTTGGATTTACTTCATTATTTTTTATTTCTTGATCATTTTCAGGTGTACTGATATTTCTAAAGAAATTATCATCCAGATTAATATCAAGAAAATTAAGATTTTCATGAATATGTGGCATTATTGGAATATCTTCACTTAATTTCTCCCCCAGAAGATGAGAATAAAAAAAGGTTGTTCTTCCACAAAAAAAGTATCCATAGTAACAACCATTGTTTTGGTTGTAGGATCAAAACATTTATACCCTTTTTGAGTGGCAGAAACACCTAGAAAAACACATTTTTTTCCTCTAGGATCAAACTTACTTGCAGATCTATCTGGATTTTTTATAAACACTGTGCAACCAAATTTTTTTAAAGGAAGGGTGTTTACCAATCTATTTGTAGGAAAGAAGTGTTGTAGTGAACTAATAGGACTTTTAAATCCTAAAGTTTTGGATGGCATGTGATTAATTAAATAAGTAGCATGTAACACTGCTTCTCCCCACAAATATTTTGGTATGTTTGTTGAAAACTTGATTGCACGAGTGACTTCAAGCAAATGTCTATTTTTCCTTTCTGCAATTCCATTTTGAGCTGGTGTATTGACACAAGAGCTTTGATGAATAATGTTCAGTAAAAAAGTTGTTTAAAGTTTGAGAAAAATATTCACGGCCATTATCACTTCTTACCATTTTAATTTTGGTATTGAATTGAGTTTGGACCATAGCATAAAATGTTCTAAATATTTTCTCAACTTCAGATTTTTCTTTGATTAAAAATACCCATGTGACATGAGTATGATCATCAATAATACTTACAAACCATCTCTTTCCCTTTAAAGTTGGTATTCTAGATGGACCCCAAATGTCACTATGTACCAAGGTAAAAGTACTAGTAGGTTTATAACTGTGGGGTAAATAAGTGTTTCTGTGATGTTTTGCAAGTGCACACATATCACAATTAAAGAAAGAAGCATCTTTATTCAGAAATAATTGAGGAAACATCTTTTTTAAATAATAGAAACTAGGGTGTCCTAGTCTATAATGAAGAAAATACAAATCTTTATTATTTGAAAAAGAAACAGTTTGCAAACAAGCATTTCTTGGACCTCTTTTATAAGATTGAGTTTCTCCATCAAAGATATAGAGTCCATCCTCCTCCTTAGCACTGCCAATCATCTTCCCCGATGCCAGGTCCTGAAAAATGCAATAAGAAGGATAAAAAATGACACAACATTGTAGATCTTTAGTTATTTGACTAACTGAAGTAAGATTGCAGGATAGATTAGGGACATGAAGGACTTTGGATAGATTCAGTGATGAGGAAATACTAATATTTCCCATCCCTGCAATGGCTGGTAGAGAACCATCTGCACCCTTAACCTTTTTATCCCCTGCACTAGGTTTATATGAAGAAAAAAGATTTGAAATAGAAGTCATGTGATCAGTAGCCCCTGAGTCAATAACCCAGGAATTTTTAGATTTCCCAGAACAAAAAAATGATGAATAGGTACCGTTTTGGGCATAAAAACAAGAGGAAGATTCTGGTTTGGATTCTTTCTGGAATTTTGGGTTTTCTGGGAATTAAGGAAGTTAAGAAGTTGCCCTATCTGCTCCTGAGTGAATGAAAGCTGATTGAACTTGACTTGTGGTTCTTGTTGAGTCTCACTCACAGTTGTTTGTAGGACCTTCTCAGTTTTTTTCTTTACTGCCCCTGGTGGTTTGCCATGAATTTTCCAACAAGTCTCCCTAGTGTGCCATAATTTCTTGCAATGATCACACCAGGGTTTTTTCTTGTCATCACTCCTAGCCACCATTGCTGAAGAGTCCCTAGATTCCTCATTATGTACTGGAATGTTGTATATAACCTTCTTCCTGCTATCCTCCATCCCGATTTCAGAAAATACCTCCCTGCTAGAGGGTAGAGGTTTTTTTCCAAGTATCCTCCCCTTAACTTCATCTAGATCTCTAGTAATTCCTGCTAGGAACATGTAGACCCTATCATTTTCCTCCCTTTTTTGGTGTCTTGCTAGATCCTTGGCACTCTCCCATTTCTCATCATCATGGCACTGACCCAACTCTTGCCATAGGGATACCATATCATTATAGTAAGAGATGATATCTCTATTGCCTTGTTTGGACTGCCACAACTTTGTTTTTAATTCAAAAATCTGAGAAGAGTTCTCAAGATCTGAGTAAGTTTCCTTAATGGAATTCCATACCTCCTTTGCAGTTTTCATGAACATGTGAGGTTTGGCAATTGATGCATCCATTGAACTTAGAAGCCATGCTGTCACCAAGGAATTTTCTGACCTCCAGACACTGTAGCCATCATCACCAGTTTTTTTCTCCTTTATTTCACCAGTTATGTACCGTAGCTTGCCCCTTCCATCAATAGCCAGCTTGACAGACTATGACCATTCGAGATAATTTGTTCCATTCAATCTATGGCCAGTAATGAGCATAGATGAATGAACTGAGGTATGGTAGTTTGTCATTGAGCTATTTGGGGAGTTAGGGTTATGGGTCTGTGAGTGGGGAGAAGAGTCAGATTGCTCGGTTTCCACCATTGTGGTGTTTAAACAGCCTGCTCTGATACCATGTAAGTTTTAGGAATTAAACCTCCTTGATTGAATGAGTCATACGGCCAGAGTATAAATACAGTTTGTACAGATAACTACAAGCTAGTACAGATCCTAAAAATTAGGATCTAGATAACTATGAGCTTATCTACAACTAACTAAGTCTATCCGACTCACTATGTGCACCAATCTAATCAGGAAAAATAATGTAACATTTTTCTAATAATGTAACATTTTTCTACAGTATCCACAGGGAAAGGAATACTTTTCTTTTATATAAATAGTAACAAGGGGGGTTTTAAGTTTGATTTGATTTAATTTAATTAACACTAAGATGAACGACTTATATGAGTTTAATTTATAGAGATGAGGACTTGGTTTTACTTTTATCCACTTAATGAAATGTTCGTCGATCCCGGTTATATCTTTAACTATCTTCCTCTCGAATACTCAATCGAGGAGTATATCCAGTTCATCGAGGGTAGTTATTAATAACGAGACGCGTTCATTAATAAAACTTACTACCGAGTTAATATAGAACAAGCGTCGTATATTAGCCCGATAGTAGCAATAAACTTAAGATGAAAACAATTGAGATTGATAACCTCAACACAAGCGGTTTATTGGTTTAATAAATATAATTAATTCCCCTTAGATTATTAACCATGAGACGCATGCATTAATAATCCAAGTTTTACTACCGTTGAAAGAACCAAATTAATAACAAGCGTATTAATCGATTGATTCTAGTAATAAATAATATATGAAACAAAACTAGTTGATCCTTTAAGTAATGCTCAAAATATTAATATGGAATATGAATAGGAAATAATTAATATTCAAGGAAGAAGATTAAAGAAAATAACTCACAACTTACAAATTCATTAAGCTTCAAAGTAGCAAAACAGAGATGGAAGAGTTTAGCTCCTCATTTGGAGACTTAACATGAAGAAAATATAAAGAAAGAGCTTGTCTAAACTGAGCTAAGAAGTATATGTGAATTCATGATTTTTGTGAGAAGGAAAGGGGGTATTTATAGGCTTTTGGAGCATGCAGGGGTGTGTACCCGATCAGGCATCAAGGGCACCTGATCGGGTACCTTCAGTGGCTTCCCGGAAGCTCGAAAAGTTGGGCATACCCGATCGGGTATGTCGGTCACCCAATCGGGTATGACATTCAAACGTGGTCAAATATTTTCCTACATGTTGCCTTGTCCCGGATCCGATCCGATTTGATTTTTCAACAAGGTACCCGATCGGGTATAGGTCATACCCGACCGGGTACAACACCAAAAATCATACTCTTCAATTTGTCTTGAGATTTTTGCACCTTCCTTCCATTTGTGATGTTCACCAATGATCTCTAGAGTGATCTTGGACCTGTTTGAGCTCAGTATAAACCTAATCTAAACAAATTACAAATATTTTTACAAATTAAACTATTGCACCAAAAGTGTGTAATTTCCAAGGTAACAATCAATCTAAACTAATTAAAAACATAAACGTAAACATTGAAATTACATGAATGTCAACGCACAACTATCCCTTCTTCATCTCTTTTGTTTTTGAATACCCACTTCGTGCCAATGATAGTTTTCTTCTGTGGCTTAGGCACGAGTGTCCATACATCCAGCCTTTCAAACTGATTAAGTTCATCTTGCATTGCAATCACCCAATCAGGATCAAGTAGTGCTTCAGAAACCTTTTGAGGGTTCAGACTAGCTTAAGAAACAAGGAAAGAGGCATTTGTTCACTGAGGAGATGAATCTAGGGTTGTTTCAAAATCGTGATCCTCAACTTCTTCTTGATTGGATTGAGGACTGGATGGCGTAGATGGTATGTCTTCTGGACTGGGTAGAAGTGGGACCAGTGAAGTAGGAGTAGGTTGTGGTGGAGGTCCTGAAGCTGAAGCTGGTGTGAATGGA